TATACAATGTATGGACAAATGGTAGAATTATAAATATGTAAGATAGATTCTGGCAAGAAAAATTGTCTAGCACAACACAGTGAACCAACTTTCCTAGCAGCTGACCTAGCAATTCATTCAATATAACTTTTCCACTTCATGTCAGTGGAAACATGAGACCAGGAAGGTGCAATGAGACACTCTCCTGGAGGTTAGCATCAGCCATGCTGATGGAAGGTAAAAAATTTTCTTTAAGATGATTAAAAAAAAGCAGTTTTCTTTTGGAAGTGTAAAAAATAACAAGCCATTTTTTGCCCCTGTTAACAGATTAAAGGTCATTTTTTTTTTTAGATCAGTCAGTTTGACCATATCAAATCTATCAGACTTACTATTAAGACAGGATTAAATAGTTGTGTCATCAGAATAAATAATGAGTTGAGAAGAGATGACAACATAAATGTCATTTGTAAAAATTAAGAACAAAAAAGGTCCAACAATAGGACCCTTGGGGATACTCGCCTTAATTTGAAAAGATCTAGAAGAGAGTTGTCTTGAATGACAATATTCATTTCATTTCATTTTTTTTCCAGAAATACCATGACCTTTCAACTTCTGAAGAGCACCAACATGCCAAACCCTTGTCAAACACCTTTGAGATTATCTAAAGCAACAGCCTGGGCTTTACTATTCTTATCTAAAGCTTGATAGACTTTTTCATAAATAACTGTTAACACATCAGCAGTCGATTAAATGAAAGCAATATTGTTTGTTGTTTGATATGAGACGCTTTACCAATTCAGAGTTGATTAAAGCATCTAAGGCTTTGCCAAAAAGTGATGGAAGACTAATATATTTAAAAGGATCAGACGGTTTGAGGAACAAACAGGAGGTATTGAAGAAGATTTCTAACTATCATTGAAAGAAAGAAGCAGCTAGGCATTTATTGCAGAGTTTAAAGAGTACAGAAGCCATTTCAGGAGGACATTTCTTTAGGAGTATTTACAGGAGGTTTACTTTGTGGGGATTCAGTTTGGAGATGATGGATGGAGTTATATGCAAATCACACATTAAAGACTAAGAGTAAAGTCAGGCAAAGTTTGACCAGTACATTATGACTGTGTTCATATTTGATGTTGATAAGGGTTGTTTTTTTTATGATAAAGGGTTCAACTGAAAAAAATTGTACAAAAATAACTGAAGTCCTTAAACAAAATAACTAACCCTTAACAACATCAACTATGAACACGGTCAGAATCTACTGGCTGTATTCAAGAGCATGTCTACCTCCTAACGACTTACTATTTGCATTAGTACAGCCCAAAATCCTTAAAAGTAGCTAATAGATTAGCTGAAAGTACTTGGAACAAACATTCATTTGGACAATTTCTACATACATTAAGTCCCAAAAAGAAATGTCTTGTTTCTACACACAAAAAACAGAAGAAAAAGATTTAACAGAAGTACCTGGTCATTCAATTTTAATGAAATATGTATTAGAGAGGGATTGTTGAAGTCAACACTCAGTCAACACTGTTTCATGCTTAAATGCAATAGTCAGGTAATATGCATTGTGTTTTTGCTCTACTATATATATATATATATATATATATATGGAGAAATATAGTTTTAAGGTGTGCTATATTTAGGCGGCTTGATGATTATGTCTAGCATGAAGCAGCCTGTTGCCTCTGAGTATTGACTTCAATGTTCATTTATATATATATATATATATATATATATATATATATATATATATATATACAGGTCAGTGATGCATTGTGGTTAGTTTATCATATAATTCTAATGGTTATTTTGGTGGGTAGTAATGGTTATATTTTGAATTATTCTAGGGAATATTGAGTGGAAATCAAAAACTAAAAAAGAACAAGAATAAATAAAAATAATAAAATAAATAAATAAAAATAAAATAAATAAACAAAAATAAGTAAAATAAATCTATCTATCTATCTATCTATCTATCTATCTATCTATCTATCTATCTATCTATCTATCTCAGTCTGTTCACATCCATCCATCTATCTATCTATCTATCTATCTATCTATCTATCTATCTATCTATCTATCTATCTATCTATCTATCTAATTCTGTTCCTGTCTATCTCCTTCTCTACCTATCTATCTTTCTGTCTCAGTCTATCTATCTATCTATCTATCTATCTATCTATCTATCTATCTATCTATCTATCTATCTATTTCATTCTGTTCATATCTCTCCTATCTTAACTGTCTATTCATATATATTTCAATTTGTATCTACCATTTTATACCAGTCTATTCACATTTATTGCTACTTGCTTGTATTATGGGTGCACATAGGGTGTGTGTGTATGTGTGTGTGTTTGCCTTTTTATGTTTTAGATTGCTTTGACACTAAATCCTTCTGATTCTTCATTTTGTATATTTCTTAATCAAATTCATTCTTGCATCCTTTTCATCTTCAAACTTCAAAGGGAATCGTTTCAGTTAATTTTTACATTCACAGGAAAGACAAAGTTTGTTATGTTTAAATCTTTTCCTTATTTTTCTTGAAAATAAATAAGAAATATATTTTATAGTTTGGGAATGAACCCATTTAAAGAAAGAGAATATTTGTTCTTCATTTAACAGAATCTGCTCTGAGTTAAGGTTTCTGAGGACCAGCTCAGCAATTTCATTTAGATGAATGGTGGCTTTAGTCAATGACCTTTTAAGGAATGAAAGTAATTTAAACATGTTTTAAAGCACGTAAAATTTATTAAATGCAAGCTGAACAGCAAAATTGACTGACAGCATAAGACACTTGAAAGTTTGAAATAAAATGAGTGAAAATATTTGGAATTGCAATGTGTATTTATTTCTTTTTGATAAAAGATAAAATGGCAGCTACATAAAGAAGAGTTACTGAGTTACAAGATTCTTTCTGAAGTGATATGGAAGATGTTTGTTTGAATTTTTAAAATGATTAGGTTGGATTGGTTGATTTTATAACCAGGATTTCTTATTTAATGTAAAAATCAGTCTTTTTTTAAGGTTATATGCATTTATATGGTTTGTGAATAAGTAAATATTAATTATTTATATTTTAGTCTGTGTGCATTTACTTTGTTCAGGTAGGTAAATATTCGTTGATAATGTTTAAGTCTGTAAGCATTTACTTGGTTCAGGTATAGGTAAATATTGGTTGATTATATTTGAATCTATATGAATTTACTTGGTTTAGGGATAGGTAAATATTGATTGATTATATTTGAGTCTATAAGCATTTACTTTGTTCTGATATAGGTAAATATTGGTTGACTATATCTGTATCTGTAAGCATTTACTTTTTTCAAGGATAGTAGATATTGGTTGATTATATTTGAGTCTGTAAGCATTTGCTTAGTAAGGGGACCTTTGGATGAGTGGATGCACATGTTTTAACCCCTGAACCCCGCAGAGGATATAAAAGTGTTCTGCCAGCATGGTAATTTTGAAAGGAGAAATTATCATTATTATACACTGATTTACTTAAACTAACATTGTCATCTTGTTTATTTTTGTTTCAGTATTTCATTGGTTGTCATCTCTAGCATTCATTTTCTAACATTTTAGAGATTAAAGTGGCTGAAATACGTTTATTATGAAAACCAAGATTCAGTAAGCCAAGTATATTAGTGTAAAATCAGAACTGAAGATTTTAGTAGTATGTTTTTTTTAGTCTCATGTTTGATACTGATTAGATGGAAATGTTTTGCTGGAACGGAAAGAGACTTTTGAAGCAGTGGATGTATTCTTGGCACTGATTGGTTCTTTTTTTTTTTAAATTTGAAGTTTGTTATGTCATGTCTTTTCTGATTTGTTGTAATCTCTGGAAGATTGGAGAAGAAGAAATAGAATAAATTCAGGTTTACCTTTCAATCAGAAAATAATTTGCTGTCTCGGTTGTAAACGTCAGGAACAGAAGCATTAAATCACTCCATGGAAAATATGAAAATGTAATTTTAGATACGCCAGTGCTTAAATGACTTCAAACAGATAATAGATATGACAAAGTGAATTATTCAGATTGCTGAACCTAAAAATATCACTAAAAATAAGAATTGAACATTGTTTTATATGAGTTTGTTTTTGCAATAAGATATGTCATGGTATGGTTGTGTTATCTTTTTGTTTTGTTTCTTTTTATTCCCCATTAATGTTTATGCCCAGAATTTCAAGGCAGGTATCCCTCTACATCTGGAAGACTGATATAACACTATAAGTTTTGTATGCTTAGCAAATTCTCAAGTTTGAGCATTTAAAATATAATCTTACACTAAATGATTAGAATCAGTAATGATTATTACATAAATTTTTTATCAGTAAAAATATCTTTTCAAGGCAGGCAGTTCTTCCACGTTTAGAAGATTGATATAATACTATGAGTTTGGTATAGTGAGCAAATTTTCAAGTTTCAGTAGTTAAAATATAGTCTTACACCAAACAGTTACAACCAGTAATTGTTACTATATAAATTGTTTTCAGTAAATTTTTTCAAGGCAAGCAGTTCTTTGACATTTGGAAGATTGATATAATGCTATGATCCAGTCATGCTTAGCAAATTCTCAATTTAGAGCATTTAAAATATAGTCTTACACCAAATGGTTACAAACAGTAATGGTTATTACATAAATTGTTTATCAGTAAAATTATTATTTCAAGGTAGGCAGTTCTTGTTCAATATTATATCAATATTCCAAATGTGGTGTCAATGTTAGTGAGGTATTATTGATTGATTGATTCATTTTCTATGGATTATCAACCCTTTGCTGGTTATTTAAAGCCAGAAAATATCTTTAGATTGTAAGAATTTTTTTTGAGATAATAATGATTAGTGATAGGTCTTACTAATTAATCCATATCTGGGGGGATAAGAAGTAGATTCATAATTTTCCCAAGGGTATTTGCGTAAGTTAATATAACAAAATCAACTGGAATTGGAACTCAGCTCACTAATTAACAATTCCAAGGTATTATTCATTATACCACTCACATATCCAAACTTACAGCATCTGGTATTCCCAAATGGTCACCCATCTAGGTACTGACCAGGCTTGGGGTTGCTTAACTTCAATGATTTTATGGGAACTGGAGTTTCAATGTGATGCTGATGTAAGTCTTAATGGGGTGCTAATGAGATGATAAGTAGGTGATACTTTTCTGGGGATTTAAGAAATGTTTTTATCAATACTCTTTATCAATACTCTTTATCAATACTCTTTATCAATACCCTTTACAAATATGTTGATAACAGTGTACAAGTCAAAGAATAATCTTTATAGACACTCTATGAATACTCTTCTACATAATAAATGTGAATGTCATTGTGTCAAGTTTTCATTGCTGCAATTGTTTTTTGTGATTTTTTTACATGATTTTTTGCGACAAATTTTTTTGTATGATAACAATTTTTATAACTTGGAAATAAATTTGGGAATAATTGAAATTAATTGTGAAATTCAGCAAAAATCACCCATGAAATAAAAATAATTGTTTGTACGGAAAGTAAGGACCTACATACATCAACTTGTCTTTTAATTAAGTGGTGGCAGAAGAATTATCATTGAACTTTTAAAAGGTAAACTTAAATATTAATGCAATACTTAAATGCAGTTTTGAGTTCTATAGTTTATTGTTGCTTATTGCATCTACTCTTCCCTACTTATTGTGATGAAGGCCCCATTTAGAGACTTCTGCAGGAGCTAGCTTAAATGCCACCCCAAGGAAGACTTTTAAGCTAGTTTAAATATGTTCTTAGCAGTGTGCAAGTTGCAGAATACTCTTTATGAATACAATTTATGAATATGTTATTAACAGAGTTCAAGCCAAAGAATATTCTTTATGCATACTCTTTATGTAAAATCTGAGATGCCAATATGAAGAAAGACAAAAAATGGAAAAGAGCAGACATGACAAGCCTCCTCATTTAGAAAGGAGTTTTTCATTTTTTTTCTAAATATAGTGTGCGATGGATAAATTGTCGTCTGAATTATGCAAAAATGAAAATGACATTGACATCTTATATTAAGAGATATATTTACCAAAATTACACAAAAATATCTTGAAATATTAAAGAGTAAATTTATTCAATAAAATTGCCGTTGGCTTCAACCATGGCCTCAAGGCGCTTGATGTAGACCTCCATGTTGAGTCTGAGGCCCTGTGGGAAGATGAATGGAGGCATAATGTTGTCATCACTAGTGATCACTCCAAACACCATGATGTTGACTGGATATATCATCTAACTCGTTCCAAATCCTCTGTACTGTTCTCAGATTGACACCCAAACACTCTGAAATGTCTGTATTGGAACATCCCTCCTTGACAATGGAATACAAAAAAAATAAGGATGATTTCACCCTGTGGATGTGGCATCATGTCTCCTAGTTGAGAAGGTCTGAACTAAGGAATAGAGCTTATCTAGATATTTGCCATGAAAATTTTTGTAGTGATCACATGAAATGAAAAAAAATCTAATTTCCATGATTCCATAGAAAAAGGACAACATCCTACTGGATGGAAATTTAGAGACTTCTTTTTATTCAGTCAGTCTCTTGCAAAAAGAGCACATGGAATTGAGCAGTTTTGAATATATATATATATATATATATATATATATATATATATTCAAAACTATAATTTGAAATTACTATGAAATTTCTCAGACATTCAGGCTGGTAAATGTTGTTAATACTCTTTATTATAAACAGAGCATTTACTTAAATATTTTTATCGGTAAAAATAAATTATGAGAGAAAATATATTAAAATAATTGTCGAACTTAGTCCATTTCATAATATGATGTCATTTGTTTACATTAAGATACGCTTTGAGCAGATATGAGCATTCAAGAGAAATCATGTGAAATTTGTAGTTTAAAAACAGTAATTCGACCCTGCTAACTAGATGCTTCCTCTGTAGCTAAATAGTATAACACATCAGGCTATATGATGGTTTCATGTGATGAATATATATTGTATTGTACAAACCAAAAACAGGAGTTAACCAAGGCCCATCATAACATATTTATTGAATTGATATACTGTTAAGAGCAAATTATACAATTTTAAACAAATTCAAGCAAGAAATATAAAAGATACCAAAAAAAAATAGAATATTCCATTTTTCTGAAGCACCATATTTTATAACCAAACTTCTACACCTACAATATATTTAAAGTTTATTTCCCATGATTCCATAGAAGAAAGGACACCATCTTGCTGGCTAGAAATTTAAAGACTTCCATTTTTCAGTCAGTCTCTTGCAAGGAGAATTCATAGAATGAGCAGCTCCAAATATGAAGACCACAGATGTCAACTTATCCAAATATCACTTTCTCTTATTAAATATAGCCTTTACTGATAGATTTATAACTACCAAAATCTCTATTCATTCATCCAACAGAAACACAAACCAGAAATATTTTAGTAACACCACCATTACAAGAACTTTCTCACTCCACCAAACTTGTACAACAGAATTCTTTGGATAATAAATCCTTCAAATTATTCAGTCTAAATGCCTCACCTTGTTTTTGTGATGAATATAATGTTGTATTTTACTAACCAAAAACATGAGTCAAACAAGGCCCATCATAACAGTATATTAATTTGCCCATGTATACTCTTCCATAATATATGCCGACATCATTGCAGACAGCAGACTGAGACCATCCCATCTTGACAGTCTTGCCAGTATCCCACGTATGAATGATAACTTTCTGTGCCTCTAATACATCCTTAACTATTGCCATTTATGATACTGGGTGACAATATGATGAACACCAAAGATTCAACTCTTTTTGTACCAATATGTTGACCTTGAAAATACTCATGAAATGACCTTGTATGTCAATGATTCAATAAATTTGAATTGCCTGAGAGGGAATGCCAGATTCTTTACAAATCTAGTAATCATGTGAAACACAAAAAAAAAAAAAAACTAATTCCCATAATTCCATAGAAAAAAAGGAAACCATCCTTCTGGATGGAAATTTAGAGGCTTCCTTTTTTCAGTCAGCCTCTTGCAAGGAAGCATGTGGAATTGAGTAGTTCTAGAAATGAAGACCACAGATAAGTCAACTTATCCAAATATCACTTTCTCTTATTAAATATAGCCTTTACTGATAGACTTATAATGACCAAAATCTCTATTCATTCATCCAACAGAAACACAAACCAGAAATATTTTAGTAACAACCACATTAAAAGAACTTTCTCATTGTGATTAATATATACTGTATTTTACTAACCAAAAACAGGAGCTCATCATAACATGGTAATAGGGTAGCGACAGGCTAACAACATTTTATCTGTAGGCAAAGGGCTTGTAAAGGGGAAAAATTTATTACCCACAAGGCTGCATAAATGTTTTTGAACTCTGTCAAGGCTGGAAAGTGATGATTGTGCAACCCCAACCCAGATATAGCAAAAATACTCCATTCTCAGCCTGATCTGACTCAAAGATAGTGGATGGCAAGAAGAATCAGGTATTTTCTGAAGTGGTACAAGGAACCGCCCATGTATATATGAGTTCCATTTGAGGTCTGGAGTGAGTTTTACTTCCACTAGACCTTTTGAAGCTAGGAGCTTCATTGAGAGTTCAAGCATTTGTCAGAACTGGAGAAAATTTACTGTCTGCTCTGTGACGATGAAATGTTACTAGCTTTGTTTTGTAAGAACTGAATGTTATAACCGATTCTTTCTCCCACTGAGCTGTGAGAGCTAGATCAGCAGAAAAATTAGCTGTCAAGGGCTGGCCATATAAGTTGTGGAGGTGCACCCATAAGCATAGTAAATATTGAAATAGCATAGTTATAATTGTTCCAAGGGCATTCAGCTACTTCTTTAGCCATTATCAAGGATGTGTTTTTGGATGGTGAAATTCTGTGTGGCTGCTAGATAGTAATTTTGCAGTGTGGAGTTCAAGCAGTTTATGTGCTTCTTAGTGGTCATGTACTGTGCACAGCCAGTTGACCAGGGCAAGACTTCTGTTTTTAGAACACATTTAACACACCGTCTCCTCTGCTAAATAGTGCACAAGAAGTACGCAAATTGCTCAAACTCCACACTGCAAAATTACTATCTAGCAGTCACACACAGAATTTCACCATCCAAAAACACATCCTTGATAATGGCTAGAGAAGTAGCCAAAATTGCTTGGAGCAATATACACACACACATATATATATATATATATATATATATATATATATATATATATATCCGATGCGATGAGAACGAAAGTAATATATAAATTCTAATGTTCACAGCATTAATCCAAAAGAGGGCTTGATACCGATAGTAGAGCGATAATTATTTATTTATTATAATTTTATCATATAGACAAAACCATTTTACTCACTACAAAGATGCAACTTTGTTTCAATGCATTTCAACTGCACTTTAATGGGTGAGAACCGAAAATGGTTATATATAAATGGTTATAATGGTATAACCCTTTTTGGGTCTCTCCCGTCAAAGTGCAGTTGAAATGCACTGAAATAAAGTTGCATCTTTGTAGTGAGTAAAATGGTTTTGTCCATGTGATAAAATTATAATATATATATATATATAGATATATATGTATATATATATATATATATTTAAGGATATTACACCAAAAACATGTCACAATTGCTACACAATTGCAGTCGTGTTTCAATGCATATCAATGCATCTCATCAGACAATTCTAAATTACTGGGATGTGAACTTTAAATATTATGTTTAGTAGATAACTATATTTGAGTAGACACTCCAATATTTGAAACAATATTTTATTTTCTCTACCAGCCTGAAAATTTGAGAATTCTTAATAAGAAAAATGTACCTTTCCGCAGGATTCAAAACTGTGTCCCCCTTTGCATGAGAAACCATTATTGCATCCAATGTGCTTTAACCAAAGAGGCTACAAAGAGCATTGTGATCAAGTGAGATTCTGTTTTTACCTTTAAGTGCATCTTACTTGTTCAGATTTACGAAAGTTCATAACTGCTGAGTTTTGTATCTGAAATGTAAACAAAGCAATTTTTAAAGAAGTGATGGAGTTTTATTTATTAACCTGCCATATTTTTATTAGTTTAAACGTTATTTTTAGTGGA